CTGCAAGTACTGTACGGGATGTAGGGAACGTTCCGCTAGCTATGAAGAAATGTATCATCTTAGCTAGCATGTTACCTGCTAGCTACTACCCCAGGTCCTTGCATCACAGCAAATTTAGGGGCTAGCTAGGATTATCATCCTCCGCACTGCCTAAACGAATCAGAAAAGCCTCAGTACAGGATGCGTGTGCCCCAGCTCACACAATAGATAAGTAGCATAATAGACTTCAGATCCGTTGGATTCCCTGAGTCCAGCCCTTATTAAATTTCTACACAGCAGGGAGAGGACAGGAAGATACAGCAAAAGACAATGAAGGACTCATGAGAAGGGAGGGTAATCAGAGAAGGGGAAGAGAGTTTCTGAGCCTGACTTTAAAAGAGGGAAGGAAATAGAACAAGTAGGAATGGAGTATACAGTCACTTAAAGAGAAATAAACAAATTGGAAATGAGTATTTCCTAAATAGACTTCCATACTTGCGGAAAAGCATGTATGTAAGGGAAAAATGTGAAAAGAATGGGAAAGTAGGAAACAGACGGTGATTCCGCAAAGGCCTTGAGACAGAGAAGTTTGATTTAAAAGTGTAAACTTAGTGGAAAATCTGATTAAAAGAAGTGTTGAAAATGTTTCAGTGTATGACTGTAAAATGGATATATGGGTAGAAAGTATATAGAGAGACACTGAAAAAACAGCAATCTAAATTGACTTTAGTCCTTCCCGCTCTAAAACATTGTACCATTACATTCCCCTTTTCTTTCAAAACGGAGGCAGGCATGGTATATGAGATGCCATATACTTTTCTTTTCTTCCTACACGGTATGCTTTCCTTTATTAATCAAAAAGGGCCACTCGCAGAAGGCATCTTCAGAAACTCAGCCAATATAAAATCCCGCAGAGTCCTAACGGAGAAACTAAATTCTGGGATCAAAGTGAAGCCGTACAGGGAATCTATTCATGTGTTCGCATCCGTCTTAAAGGTAGGGAAGGTTCTAGCATTATCCACATGTGAGTAACTGAAGCGATGATGGGTGTCCTTCATCATGACTGCTCAAGAACCATAACGGGCATAGTAGATTAAGAACCTGACAAGCTAAAAAACGCTTGACAAAATCAAAATTTAAGGAAGCTACTTTAGGAGTTAAAAGCCCCATGTGTTAGAAATACTTTCTGTTTTCACCACACACGGCCCTCCGCACCTTCACTCCTGAAGACTCCATGCAAAATACTAATACTGAAATGACTACAGTCATGATACTAAATTTCAAAATACGCACTGACACAAACACACTGTTTAACGAAGCAGACATCCTCACCACCCTCCTAATGAAGGCAAACTTTCCAAAAGAAATAGAACAGGGAGGGGCGCCTGGGTGGCTCAGATGGTTAAGCGTCTGCCTTCGGCTCAGGTCATGATCCCAGTGTCCTGGGATCGAGCCCCGCATCGGGCTTCCTGCTCAGCGGGGAGCCTGCTTCTCCCTCTCCCTCTGCCTCTCTCCCTCCTCATGCTCTCTCCCTCTCTATCTCTGTGTCTCAAATGAATAAGAAAAAAAAAAAAAAAGAAGAAATAGAACAGGGAAAGAATTTAATCCATGCAGCTTGGCACATATGAACAGCTCTGAACAACCCTATGTTAATGTAGTACTGACTACAGTCTTAGAATCTCAGTCACATTTGGTCTTCCCTTGTCCCCCATTAATGTTCGAAGATGTGATCAATAGCAAAGTCCAGAAATGACTTAGGTAACCACTCCTACACTGGGGCCATAGTGATATCCAGTAGTAATATACATATAGGCATCAGGAGACAGGAGAAGAATGATGATACACTAGGTAGCAAGATGAGTGTTGCCCTCTGTAAGGTGCACACATGGAATCGATTTTCTAGCAAGAGTTGGTAGGTTCTTTTCTGATTCTGTGTTATAAGCACTGACTAGGAGGAGCATGAGCACTTGTGGGTATAGTGCTTAGACATTTCTAAAGTTTTCTCTTCCTGAAGTTGACGGATCTTGGTGGAGAATCAGACTCTGCAACCTTGGCCTTGATAATATCATGGCAAACTAACTGGACAATTGTCCTAAACTAGAAATGAATCTATCCTCAGGACCATAGTGAGTCTGCCATTAGACTCTCGACTTTTAGACAGTTAGGAAAAGGAAGAATGAAGCAATTGTGAGAGTAGCTTTCTTCCAGGGAGCACACATACCCCGAATGAGAAGACCTATTTCTTGCCTAATGTGTGTGCAAGAGCCCACCTGTTTGTGTTTTGATTGTTTCAGGCCTTTTCTTGCTAGAATTAAGAGTTGGCGCTGTGTCTAAAACAAGCAACATGAGTATGTGTATTTCTGTCCAGGAAGCTAATAGGATTTAGGATGGTCTATAGCCAGACCCTGTCAGTTTGTGGTACTTTGCAAAAAAAGCACACACACAAAATAAGTTCCAGATGATAGAAGGGAGCTTTATCTTCATTTCCACCACAGACTAAGCTCTGCTTTATGCCTCTAAGTTTTAGTGGGAGAAAATCCAAGCATCTGCTGCTGCGTGTGCAAGTCAATGGAGAGTCAGAGCCGAGTACCGTGTGGGTCACAGTTTGAGTATCTGTGAAGGAAGTGGGGGCTGAACTGAATTTTTTAACTACATATTTTCTCTGGAATATTTCCATTACATATTTTCTATAACATATATACATAGTTTTTTTTTTTTATCTCCCTAAGGATTTTCTTAGAAATATACACGGAAGTATATTTTTATCTGATCTCTATGACAAATGGCTCGGTGTTATTGATCAAGGCAACGAAGAGGAGAAGATAACTGCAGCCCTGAGGTAATGATGCAATAATTACTCTGGTCACATCTCCAAAATACAGCCAACATACTATTAGGAAAACATTGGCTTACGTTTTGCAGCTTTGCTCACTATAATCATGACCAATGCCAAAGAGTTTCAATTCTTCACACCCATGGGGGCCAGGTTCATAATGGAGACACACTTTAGGGCCATTATCGTTCTTCTCCTGATCTTATTAATGTGGAATTCTTGGCCGTTTTACATCTTTTGGATACATGAAACTGTTAGGGGAAATCCCCTGGTCCAAGACAGATGCAAGAACATCAATTGCCAGGGCTATGACCTTAAAGGTCTGTCAAACATTTAACTAACCAGAGAAGATTTTATCTGGCGCAGGAACTGAAGTCAGGGCAACAATTTTGTATACATTCATGCCTGGAACTCTGCTACAGCGGGTTGTGTGCTAGATATACAAGGATGTATCCTGTTCCCTGTCTTTTTTTTCAACCTCCTAAGTGGAATCACTTGCCTAATTTAAATGTGTATTTTTCTGACCTTAGGCTTTTACCCCAGCTGCCAAGAGGAAATGTTGTTCTCTTGCGATACCTTTTTGGAGTGCTATACAACATTGAGCAACATTCCTCATCCAATCAGATGACAGCTTATAATTTATCCGTTTGTATAGCCCCAAGCGTTCTTTACCCACCTGATTCCGGCAGCTTGGAATTGGAAGACAACTTGATAAAAAAGGTAATGAAAGCTCTCATTTTTGCCCCCATGGGGTAGAATCCCTACTTTGAACCGGATATGTGCAGTAGTAACTCTGACGGATGGAACTTTGTGAAGTGCACATTTTCATTAGGCCCCTGTGGAGTGGCAAAGTTCTTTATGCTACTCTGGCGGGGTCTGGGAAGGGGTGTCGTTAAACGGGAAACTCGGAGCAGTCGAGTCACTTCTTCCCCCTCCAGGAGACTAAACACTAGACTGACTAAACGAGAGAGAGAAGAGTCATGTGATACGATAGGAAAGAACCTGGGCTTTGGAGCTTCACCAGTCAAGGTTCAACTCTCAGCCTAATCCCTGAGGGACTCGTAACCTTGGGCAAAGCCATGGTTTCCTCACTACACAATGGCGACAACAGCCAGCTCCTCCGGTCATCACTGGCACATCCTGGGTGGCTTGGGCAATATGAGCCCCCATGGGTCCAACCACATTGGCCTTCCTCTGCCAATTGTGGCTCATCTAGAAAAGTACTCAACTACTATTTCACCCCTGCTACATCTTATGGAAACTAGCAAAAGATTCCAGACCATCCTAACAAGATGACAGGTCTTCCCCAAGCTCACACAGAGAGAGCCAGCATGAGGCAAACCAATGCGTGAGAAGGTACTGAATTTAGACAGACAGATACATTTTCTCTCCAGCTGTGTGGGTTTTCCCTCACAACCCCACCAAAATCTCTGCTTCTCAACTTTAAGATTCTTCTTCATTTAAGAAATGGTTTCTTAAGTTTTCATTCATACTTTATAAAGTTTCATAAGATGTTATACATCAGTTACAGCTCAATAAAACTGGGAACAAAATTTAAAAACAAAAAACAGGTAAACTTTAATAAGGTAGGCTACTTTGAAAATTATCCTAGTTTTATTTATTTTTTGATATTTATTTTTTTGAGAGAGGGAAAGAGAGCGTGAGCGGGGCAGGGGCAGTAGAAGAGGGAGAGGGAGAAGACCAAGCCAATTCCCTGCTGAGCCCAGAGCTGAAAGTTGGCTCCATGTGGGGCTGGATCTCACCACTATGAGATTGTGATCTGAGCCGAAACCAAGAGTCAGACGCTCAACTGAGGGGCCCCGAAATTTATCCTAGGCTTAAAGATGTAACCACTGATCCCAAAATGTTAGCTATGAAACTAGGCCACACATTAAAACTTTAGCCCACTGATGAGCAGTATTTCAAAATGTGTACCCAAAGTACACGGGAAAGCATCAGTCATTCTAAGTTATTTCCTAGAGAACTCTGGTCTCTATTTTTTTTTTGGTTTTTTTTTTTTAAGATTTTATTTATTTACTTGACAGAGAGGGAACTCAAGCAGGGAGAGTGGGAGAGGAAGAAGCAGGCTTCCCGCTGAGCAGGGAGCCAGATATAGGGCTGATCCCAGCACCCTGGGATCATAAGCTGAGCTGAAGGGAGACGCGTAACTGACTGAGCTACCCAGGTGCCCCTGGTTTCTACGTATTTTTATCAACTCTGAATTTTTCTGATAAGTCCTTCACGTTTTTTCTTAGATCCAAGGTCTATATACAAAATGTGTTTTCTAACTATGGCCTATGGAAAAGAACACCCCATTTTTGTCTTTTTGTGTTACAGATTTCTCTTGTACAATTTCTCCTTGAAAATTGCCTCAGGATATTTGGCGAAGACATCACTTCCTTCTTGGGAGAGAAGTCAATGAGTCGTGGTAAGAGCGAGAAGACTGCAGCTACCGGGAATAATTTAATTGGCTTTAGTGAGAAGCAGACAGCAAGGCTGCCAAGGGTCATGGGAGATGCATAGACAGTGCTCTTCTGGAGCCCAGAGCATCGCCAGGGCAATGATTTCCATGTGCTCCTTCTTCCAAAGGCTGGCTCACAGGTCAAGGGAGGTTCCACACTGTTGTGAGACCAAAGAAAGGATAAGATGAAGTCTCTGACTTCAAGAAGTTCCTAGGGTAGATCATAAAGGCATTAGGACTCATCATGGTATGCCATAGTGTTTGGGAATTTTTTCTAACAAAATTCTAATAGGGTGCTATACATATATATACATATATATTTGTATATATATGTATATATGTAATAACGAATCAGAAAAGCCTCAGTACAGGATGTATGTATATGTATGTATATATTTGTATATGCATATATATATGTAAAACACATCAAACATATGTATGTAGTTATATATAATATATAATTAGATACTTATACTATATAAATATATTATCATAATATATATATTTATGTATATTAGAAGTGCTCTGGTTGAAGCCAGAGAAGGGGCCTTTCTTCCCCTCCGTCCTCTTTTGGCTCAGGGGCTCTTGAGGCACCACAGGATTCCAGTGGCTTTAAAATGGGTTGAAAAGAACTGGCATCATTGAGAAAAAAGGACTTGACTTGATGTCAAACTACCTCTCCAGAGTGTAAATTCCTGTGCCCGCATTTACCAGCTATATTATCTTTGCCCAGTTATACCACCTCAGCATCAGTTAATTCATCTCTAAATATGGATAAAAATAATGTCTAAATCTTAGAATTGTTGTGTAGAATAAATAAGATGATGGATGTAATCCAAAAAAAGCCATTAATATGACTAGGAGAAGTGCCCCTGAGACTAAAGCTAGTATGTTTTGAGCCTAGCTAATAACAGCTGTCAGCAGTCCACCTTGGAAGGTAGACTTTCGATTCAGAACCTGTAGACACGTATCATCAATCCCTCCATATTTCTGACATTTCTTGGTTTTATGATGCTTACGACATTGATTTGAGGAAATCTTTAGGAAAATACAAGTCATCAGGAATTAAGATGAGTCTGGGGCACTTGGGTGGCTCAGTCGTTAAGTAACTGCCTTCAGCTCAGGTCATTATCTCGGGGTCCTGGGATCGAGCCCCGCATCGGGCTCCCTGCTCCGAGGGAAGCCTGCTTCTCCCTCTCCCCGTCCCCCTGCTTGTGTTCCCTCTCTCGCTGTCTCTCTCCCTCTATCAAAATATAAATAAAATCTGTAAAAAAAAAAAAAAAAAAAAGGAAGAAGAAGTTTCAGCGGATTAAAGAACAACTACTACCACTAGTACTCTCTCTTCTTCCTTAGACTCCGGCCAGAAAACTGTGAAAAGCTGTTCCTTCAGAGACAGGGCCTTTTGGTGGGGCTCCAGCACTTGCCAGCAAAACCAGTGCACAGCCCCACATTCTGCAAAGCCAGGAGAGCTCTTTGGAGTTTGCCTCATGGTTGTGTGTTATAAAGACAACCTGGCCTTCCCAATTCTGGTAGGTCATCTCATTTTGGTCTTCTATAGCTCTTCTGAGGTGCGGAAACACTGAGAGGCCATGTGTCCTCATCCGAATCTATCCCGAAATAGAGAAGTCCTTAGACAGCCCTGGTTTTGGCTCAGAAGCTCTGTTACTGTTATTTCAAGGAACAGAATCTGACTAAGGTCCAGCAGAGTCATGAGGCAAATACAACAGGAAAAGACATTCTTGTCCATTCTACTTGGGTCTTCTTTCTGCAAAAACCCACCGAGGCCTGTTCAGATGAGTCAAAATGACTCTGTGTATGTGAGTCTCTGAGAGTCCACCTCATCTTCACACTCTCCCTTCACTGCCTTCCTGCACTCACATGAGTCTCAAGTCTCCTTCAACGGAGTCTACTCAGTCTAACAACTGCAAACATCTGACACGAGCATAGACTCATCCTCTGGCAAATAGGAATCTGTTAATCCTAACAGAATATGTCAAATGAAAGCCACAGAGTTTGGCCTGTGTTATCTCAAACTGCTCTAGTGAATTGTCAGTGTGGACATTCACTGAGTATTTGGTGTCTCTGCAAGCACTGTATGGGATGTAGGGAACGTTGTGCTAGCTATGAAGAAATGTATCGTATTAGCTAGCATGTTACCTGCTACCTACTACCCCAGGTCCTTGCATCACAGCAAATTTAGGGGCTAGCTAGGATTATCATCCTCCGCACTGCCTAAACGAATCAGAAAAGCCTCAGTACAGGATGTATGTGCCCCAGCTCACACAATAGATAAGTAGCATAATAGACTTCAGATCCGTTGGATTCCCTGAGTCCAGCCCTTATTAAGATTCTACACAGCAGAGAGAGGACATGAAGATAGAGCAAAAGACAATGAAAGACTCATGAGAAGGGAGGGTAATCAGAGAAGGGGAAGAGAGTTTCTGAGCCTGACTTTAAATGAAGGGAAGGAAATAGAACAAGTAGGAATGGAGTATACAGTCACTTAAAGAGAAATAAACAAATGGGAAATGAGTATTTCCTAAATAGACTTCCATACTTCGGGAAGAGCATCTACGTAAGGGAATAATGAGAAAAGAATGGTAAAGTAGGAAACACATGGTGATTGCACAAAGGCCTTGAAGCAGAGAAGTTTGATTTAAGAGTGGAAACTCAATGGAAAGGAAAATCTGATTAAAAGAAGTGTTTAAAATGTTTCAGTGTATGACTGTAAAATGGATATTTGGGTAGAAAGTATATAGAGAGACACTGAAAAAAAAAAACAAAAAACATTCTAAATTGACTTTGGTCCTTCCTGCTCTAAAACAGTGTACCATTACATTCCCCTCCTCTTTCAAAACGGAGGCAAGCTTGTGCTCTGCGTGTGTGGATATGAGATGCCATATACTTTTCTTTTCTTCCTACAGGCTATGCTTTCCTTTATTAATCAAAAAGGGCCCATCACAGAAGGCATATTCAGAAACTCAGCCAATATAAAATCCTGCCATGTCCTAAAGGAGAAACTAAATTCTGGGGTCAAAGTGAACCCGTACAGCGAATCTGTTCATGTGGTCGCATCCGTCTTAAAGGTAGGGAAGGTCCTAGCATTATCCACACACGAGTAACTGAAGCTATGATTGGTGTCCTTCATCATGACTGCTCAAGAACCATAACGGGCATAATAGATTAAGAACCTGACAAGCTGAAAAACGCTTGACAAAATCAAAATTTAAGGAAGCTACTTTTGGAGTTAAAAGCCCCATGTGTTAGAAATACTTTCTGTTTTGACTACACACCGCCCTCCCCACCTTCACTCCTGAAGACTCCATGCAAAATACTAATACTGAAATGACTACTAGTCATGATAATAAATTTCAAAATACGCACCGATACATACACACAGTTTACCCATGAAAACATCCTCACCACCCTCCTAATGAAGGCAAACTTTCCAAAAGAAATAGAACAGGGAAAGAATTTAATCCATCCACCTTGGCACTTATGAACAGGTCTGAACAACCCTATGTTAACGTAGTAATGACTACGGTCGTAGAATCTCAGTCTCATTTGCTCTTCCCTTGTCCCCCGTTAATGTTTGAAGATGTGATCAATAGCAAGGTCCAGAAATGACTTAGGTAACCACTCCTACACTGGGGCCATAGTGATATCCAGTAGTAATATACATACAGGCATCAGGAGACAGGAGAAGAATGATGATACACTAGGTAGCGAGATGAGTGTTGCCCTCTGTAAGGTGCACACATGGAATCGATTTTCTAGCAAGAGTTAGGAGGTTCTTTCCTGATTCCGTGTTATAAGCACCGACTAGGAAGAGGGTGAGCACTTGTGGGGAGAGTGCTTAGACATTTCTAAAGTTTTCTCTTCCTGAAGTTGACGGAATTTGGTGGAGAATCAGACTCTGCAACCTTGGCCTTGATAATATCATGGCAAACTAACTGGACAATTGTCCTAAACTAGAAATGAATCTATCCTCAGGACCACAGTGAGTCTGCCATTAGACTCTCGACTTTTAGACAGTTAAGAAAAGGAAGAATGAAGCAATTGTGAGAGTAGCTTTCTTCCAGGGAGCACGCATACCCCGAGTGAGAAGACCTAGTTCTTTCCTAATATGTGTGCAAGAGCCCACCTGTTTGTGTTTTGATTGTTTCAGGCCTTTTCTTGCTAGAGTTAAGAGCTAGCACCTTGTGTAAAACAAGCAACATGGGTATGTGTATTTCTGTCCAGGAAGCTAATAGGATTTAGGATGGTCTATAGCCAGACCCTGTCAGTTTATGGTACTTTGCAAAAAAAAAGCACACACACAAAATAAGTTCCAGATGATAGAAAGGAGCTTTATCTTCATTTCCACCACAGGCTAAGCTCTGATTTTTGCCTCTAAGGTTTAGCGGGAGAAAATCCAAGCACCTGCTCCTGCGTGTGCAAGTCAATGGAGAGTCAGAGCTGAGCTCCGTGTGGGTCCCAGTTTGGGTATCTGTGAAGGAAGTGGGGGCTGAACTGAATTTTTTAACTATATATTTTCTCTGGAATATTTCCACTACATATTTTCTATAATATATACACATATTTTTTTATCTCCCTAAGGACTTTCTAAGAAACATCCCAGGAAGTGTATTTTTATCTGATCTCTATGACAAATGGCTCGGTGTTATTGATCAAGGCAACAAAGAGGAGATGATAACTGCAGCTCGGAGGTAACGATGCAATAATTACTCTACTCTGGTCACATCTCCAAAATACACCCAACATACTATTAGGAAAACATTGGCTTAGTTTTCCAGCTTTGCCCACTATAATCATGACCAACACCAAAGAATTTCGAGTCTTCACACCCATGGGGCCCAGCTTCAGAATAGAGGCACACTTTAGGGCTATTATTGTTCTTCTCCTGATCTTATTAATGTGGACTCCTTGGCCGTTTTACACCTTCTGGATCCTTGAAACTGGTAGACAAAATTCCCTGGTCCGAGACAGATCAAGAGCAACAACTGCCAGGGCTATGACCTTAAAAGTCTGTCAGACATTTAACTAACCAGAGAAGTGTTTATCTGGCTCAGGAACTGAATTCAGTGCAACAATTTTGTCTACATTCATGCATGGAACTCTGCTACAGCGGGTGGTGTGCTAGATATACAAGGATGTATCCTGTTCCCTGTCTCTGTTTTTCCAACCTCCTAAGTGGAATCACTTGCCTAATTTAAAAGTGTGTTTTTTTGACTTTAGGCTTTTAGCCCAGCTGCCAAGAGCAAATGTTGTTCTCTTGCGATACCTTTTTGGAGTGCTATACAACATTGAGCAACATTCCTCATCCAATCAGATGAAACCTTATAATTTATCCGTTTGTATAGCCCCAAGCGTTCTTTACCCACCTGATTCCGGCAGCTTGGAATTGGAAGACAACTTGATAAGAAAGGTAATGAGAGCTCTCATTTTTGTCCCCCAGGGGGTAGAATCCCTACTTTGACCCGGACATGTGCAGTAGTAACTCTGACAGAAGGAACTTTGTGAAGTGCACATTTTCATTAGGCCCCTGTGGAGTGGCAGAGTTCTTTATGCTACTCTGGCGGGGTCTGGGAAGGGCTGTCGTTAAACGGGAAACTCGGAGCAGTCGAGTCACTTCTTCCCCCTCCAGGAGACTAAACACTAGACTGACTAAACGAGAGAGAGAAGAGTCGTGTGATACGATAGGAAAGAACCTGGGTTTTGGAGCTTCACCAGTCAAGGTTCAACTCTCAGCCTAATCCCTGAGGGACTCGTAACCTTGGGCAAAGCCATGGTTTCCTCACTACACAATGGCGACAACAGCCAGCTCCTCCGGTCATCACTGGCACATCCTGGGTGGCTTGGGCAATATGAGCCCCCATGCCTCCAAACACATTGGCCTTCCTCTGCCAATTGTGGCTCATCTAGAAAAGTACTCGGCTACTATTTCACCTCTGCTACATCATATGGAAACTAGCAAGAGATTCCAGAATATCCTAATAAGATGACAGGTCTTCCCCAAGCTCACCCAGAGAGAGCCAGCATGAGGCAAAGCAATGCGTGAGAAGGGACTGAAGTTAGACAGACAGATACGTTTTCTCTCCAGCTGTGTGGGTTTTCCCTCACAACCCCACCAAAATCCCTGCTTCCCAACTTTATGATACTTCTTCATTTAAGAAATGGTTTTCTTAAGTTGTCGTTCATACTTTATAAAGTTTCATAAGATGGTATACATCAGTTACAGCTCAGTAAAACTGGAAACAAAATTTAAAAGCAAAAAATAAGTAAACTTTAATAAGGTAGGCTACTTTGAAAATTATCCTTGTTTTATTTATATTTTGATATGTATTTATTTGAGAGAGGGAAAGAGAGAGCGTGAGCGGGGCAGGGGCAGAAGAAGAGGGAGAGGGAGAGGGAGAAGCCCAAGCCCATTCCCCGCTGAGCACGGAGCCCAAAGTTGGCTCCATGTGGGGCTGGATCTCACCACCATGAGATCGTGATCTGCGCCGAAATCAAGAGTCAGACGCCCAACAGAGGGGCCCCGAAATTTATCCTAGTCTTAAAGACGTAACCACTGATCCCAAAATGTTAGCTCTTAAAGTAGGCCACGCATTATAACTTTAGCCCACGGATGGGCAGTATTTTAAAATGTGTACCCAAAGTACACGGGAAAGTATCACTCTTTCTAAGTTATTACTGAGGGAACTCTGGTTTCTATGTGTTTCTGTTTTTTTGTGTTTTTTTTTAAAACTTTTATTTATTTACTTGACTGAGAGAGTCACAGCGAGAGAGGGAACACAAGCAGGGGGAGTGGGAGAGGGAGAAGCAGGCTTCCCGCTGAGCAGGGAGCCCGATGTAGGGCTGATCCCAGCACCCTGGGATTATGACCTGAGCCGAACGCAGACGCTTAACCGACTGAGCCACCCAGGCGCCCCTGGTTTCTACGTATTTTTATCAAGTTTGAATTTTACTGGGAAGTCCTTCCCATTTTTTCTTAGATCCAAGGTCTGTATACAAAATGTGATTTATAACTATGCCCTATGGAAAAGAGCACCCCATTCTCGTCTTTTTGTGTTACAGATTTGTCTTGTACAATTTCTCATTGAAAATTGCCTCAGGATATTTGGAGAAGACATCACTTCCCTCTTGGGCGAGAACTCAATGAGTCGTGGTAACAGCGAGAAGGCTGCAGGTACCGGGAGTAATTTAATTGGCTTTAGTGAGAAGCAGACAGCAAGGTTGCCAGGGGTCATGGGAGATGCTTAGACACAGCTGTTCTGGAGCCCAGAGCATCGCCAGGGCAAGGATTTCCATGGGCTCCTTCTTCCGAAGGCTGGCTCACAGGTCAAGGGAGGTTCCACACTGTTGTGAGACCAAAGAAAGGATAAGATGAGGTGTCTGACTTCAAGAAGTTTCTAGTGTAGATCATAAGGGCATTAGGACTCATCATGGTATGCTACAGTGTTTGGGAATTTTTTCTAACAAAATTCTAAGTGGGTGCTATATATCTATATATATATACAACATCATACATATATATGTAGTTATATAGATATATAATATATAATTAGATACTTATACTATATAAATATAACCATAGTATATATATTTATGTATATTAGATGTGCTCTGGTTGAAGCCAGAGCAAGGGGCCTTTCTTCCCCTCCCTCCTCTTTTGGCTCAGGGGCTCTTGAGGCACCACAGGATTCCAGTGCCCTTTGAAACAGGTTGAAAAGAACTGGCATCATTGAGAAAAAAGGACTTGACTTGATGTCAAAAAACCTCTCCAGAGTGTAAAGTCCTGTGCCCCCATTTACCAGCTATATTACCTTTGATCAGTTTTTCTAGCTCAGCATCAGTTTATTCATCTATAAATGTGGATAAAAATAATGTCTAAATCTTAGAATTGTGGTAAACACTAAATAAGATGATGGATGGAATCCAAAAAAAGCCATTAATAGGACTAGGAGAAGTGCCCCTGAGACTAGAGCTAGTACGATTTGAGCCTAGCTAATCACAGCTACCTGGCAGCAGTCCACCTTAGAAGGTAGACTTTTGATTCAGAACCTGGAGACACGTAT